TATTGACAAACCTTCTGTTATTTTACTGTTATTCTGCTGTTATGCTGCTGTTATGCTGCCATTATTTGGTGGATATAAGGTAGAATAATGGCAGATTTTTTTTCTGTTATTTACCTATTATTTACCCTTTATTTATTCATTTGACCTGTGTAAATAAAGTTATTGAATACAAAAAAAAGTTCTATATATGCTATAACTAAGATTAATACTTGCAGTTAGGGCTAATTATTAAACTTCTAACAATAAAACTATAACTCTAAGTAATAAAAATACTATATACAAGAATAAAAACTTAGACATATTTATTTGCAACTTAAACCTATTAGAATAGCTAATACTTACTTAAATTAGTTAAAATTTTCTAAATAAGGTTTATTATTTTAGTATATACTAGTAAGCTACTTATATATTTTATTAACTATTTATACTATTGAAAGTTAATTACATTTTTATAAAAAAAATAAAACAAAAGTAAAATAAATTAAATAAAAAATAAAATATAATTAAAAAGATAAAAAATAATATCAATTGAATAGACAAATAGATAAAAAAAGTTAACAAAATTATAAAAGTATAGCTAAAACAAGTAATATAGATTGGATAAGTAAATAGATAAGAGAAAGTTAACAGAAATATATAAATATAGCTAGAAAAAAGGCTATTATTAAGTTTATTAATAATTTTAAATATATTGAAAATATAAATAAAATTAATTTTTAATATTGTAGATATAACAATATTAAGTTTTTTGATAATGTATTGGTTTGCTTAATCAAAGTATAACTTATTAAAATTTTTTTTAGTTAAATAATAGTTAGTTTAGAAATTTGAATAATATTATAGTAAGCAATAATTCTGACTAGAATTTGTAGATTATTTGTTTAAGAGTAAATATTGTTTAGTGCTTCTTTAAGATTGCAAATAATAATTTCATTATTTGTTGTACAAATTTATAGTAAGCTTTAATATAGCAATAAAAGAAATAGAATATATATTTTGGATTAGTAGATGAAATGCATCAGGAAGTAGGATCAATTTTCCATTCATATAACTTTTGATCTAAATTCAGAATCAGAATTATGCACCTACTTACATTAATTTTTATTTGACTAATTTATTAAATTTAATTTCAGTACATGTAATTATGTTGTTAAAATAATAAAAGAGTAAAGTTCATATTAAATTTTAGTAAAACTCAAATGCAAATTTCACCTGCATATAACCTGCATAGTGGGTTTTACTTGATTATAAAATTTTTTTTTTATCACATTTGTAAATTAATGTTTATTATAAATCAAAGACAAATTTAATAAATTAAATTGATTAATTAGCAGTATTAAAATAATCAAGTAAGAACTAAGAAAAGCTTTATTAAGTATTAAATTAATTTCTTTTAAATAGGTTAGAGAATGATTATAAACTTCATAATTTAGAAATAATTAAATAAATTAAAATAAAGGTTTAGGTCGCAGATTATATGTCTGAGTCTTTATTCTTCATATGTAATTTAAAAGCAAGCTTTTCTTTGTAAAAACTTCAATTGAATTTCAATAAAGTTAAAGGCATGGCCTCATCGTTAATATTTAAAAAAAAAATAAATTAAAATAATAAATGTAAATGAATCAGAAATTAATATGCGAATAAAAAAAATCTATTAATTCTGTTCTATACAAATTTTAATGTGAAATTTCTGTTCAATATGTCTTCTATTTACTGTATCTAGTAAATGCAATAGCAATTAAATAAATTACTAACATTATCTTGAGATTTAGACTGTTATCTAAACAATATAGTATGCATAAGTTTTTCAGTTTAATTATTATAATATACAAATCTTATTTTTAATTAAACTCACTGTTACTTGATGTATTTGAATCAACTTTATGATATAAAAGCTCTAAAAAATAAAGCCACTAATTAATAAATTAGAAAAAGATCCTAATTATAACTCCTTATTGACTTATTAAAAAAAATTCACTTTAAAATTTATTTCAATATTCAATAATTAGTTCACTTTTAACAAAATAAAAGATTAAGATTAGTTATTAAGTCTTTTTGTTTTTTTGTAATTGTTAACATTCAAAATACAAAAATAACACAACCTTTCAATATTATACAACAATGCCTTTTTGCACTTCTTGTTCATGTACTCTTTCTTCTACTGAATTCATATATGAAAGCAAAAGCTATAAAACTTGTGCTAGATGTATAACTAACAAAGCTATTAAAAAAGATAATTTAGATGAAAAAACTATAATCGAAGCAATTTCTATTCAAGATATTAGTAATTATATCACTAATGTGATAGCAGATTTAGAACATTGTTTAGAACTTTCTCTTGTCTTTCATATTCAGCTTGATAAGATTACACTTGGTATTGTAGATACAGATGTCAAAGCAATGACTATATTAATAATCAACGAAATTGAGAATGATGATAAATATAATTGGACTGTCACAACTGCACTAAATCTTTTATCCTGTTATATTGGTGTTGAAAATGCATATTATTTATATTTTCAAAGTTATGAGCTTGAGCATGAATATAAAAACTCAAGCAAAAAAAGAATTTCTCGATTTAATTGTAATGGTAAAATATTGATCAAAATTGATATCTCAGCAGCAGAAGCTAAAGTAATTTTAAAGCACGAAATGATGCATGAGAAACCTGATGATATTGCAGTATCATTAGAAATAAAACAAGAAATTAAAAGAAATTTGAACCTAAGTCCAGTAGACTTACGAACTCATCTTTGTAGTAAAAATTTTGATATGTCAAAAATTATATATAAACAAATTCATTATTAGTGGTCATATTATATACAATGGTTCTATAAAACTGATGAAAATTATATTATTTCTGCACAAAGGTTTTTTGAACAACAGAATGAAAATAATTGCAACTTATGTTTTCAACTTGAAACTGATAACATAACAGCTATTGGTTTTATCATGCATTTATTTTCAGTAACACAATATACAGAAGTACATTGTGATGCTACTTATAAAACTGCCAAAGGTCAATTTGAACTTTAAGGAATTGTTGGTGATGTAGAAGGTGCAGGTTAGTGATTTATTTTTCTATATAAAAAATATTAAATAAATGTAAAATTGATATTAAATATTTTGTTTAGCATATTAATAAAATTATTATGATAAATTTATAAAATTTGAGTATTTAACTAAATTATAAAGTGCATTATTTATTATGAATTCATATAGATAACATCTAATCTATCTTTTTATAAAAAAATAAGTTAGAGGTTATTTATAAGATTTTACAATAATAACAAATAGTAAATAATGCACTTTATAGTTTAGTCAAATACTCAAATTTTATAAATTTGCTGCAATATGTAAAATACTAATATTTTTTTATACAATATATCTCATAATATTCTATAATTAAGGTTTTTCATTAGCATATTTAATTTTAGATATAACAAAAACTAATAATTTGAATTAAGAAGGGTTACATACTGAAGCCCTTATAGGTTTTTTCTTTACTCTTTGTAATAATGGCCTAGATCCAATTTATTTTTACATAGACAAAAGATTTTGCAGAAATCAATGCTGCAAAAAAAGCATGGCCTATGACTAATATATAGCTTTGTCTATGGCATATCAAAAAGGCAATTAAGAAAAAACTTAGAAGTCATAAAAAAATTGAATGCATAAATTATAAACATGAAGAAGTTGCAAAAGAATTTTCCTTCATCGACCCTTCTTTTATATCAGATTTACAATACAAAAATAATAAATATTATATTATTTGTTTATCTAATCTTTGTAAAAATGTTGTTAATATAGTTAGAATCCATTTTCATTTACATCTTAAAATTCCTATCAATGCTAATGGACAATTTTTGTTATCTAATGAAATAAAAACCAAAGCAATTTTAGAAATATATGAATTTTGCAAAGTAAATAATCTGGTAATACTCTGAACTTACTTATGGTCTTCTTGGTATAAATCTACAAAATGATGTCTCTGAGCATGGTTTACTCAACCAACAATACTACTTGGTAAAACCAATATGAAAATTGAAGCACATTGGCATGTTTTAAAACATTGTTACCTTTATCAATTTAGTCATTCACACTCTAACTATCTCATATAGATAATTAATTCTTATATTGTACCTGACCAAACTAATCAGCTTCAACAATTGTTATTTGATAGAGTGGTACCATCATGGTTTGATGAATTCAGGAAACAGTAGAACAATTATCTAGCAAAACCACTCATTAATATTGAAGGTTGCTATTTTACTGATTTGGAACATTGGATTTGCAACTATCTATTTTTTTTCAAAATCATTTTCTTATATATAAATATCTAATTTACCAAGCATCAGAAAAAGTAAAATCTAAAAGCATTCGATTAGTATATTCAAACTTTAAATGACAAACTAATTATTTATTTTTAATCTGAAATAGTAATAAATCATGAATTATGTTTAAAAATGCTAAAAATCTTATGATAAATAATTCTGTTAATATTTTTGAACCATATAATACAAATAAAAAATATGAAAATATTATTGAAATATGTTAAACACTAGAACCTAAAGTAGCTGCATTACAACATTTAGTTAACCACATTAATGAGGAGTTTGCCACAAATAATCTTTAACATATAGAAGCAATTATTACAAATCTGGATTATGTTTTTACAATTTTGTCAGATATTGAAAGAGAAAAAAACAAGAAATCATGAGGAACAACCTGGCATAGGTTAAAACCTTGGACTATATATTTAAATAATACTTAAAAATAACTTTTTTATTTATTAAAATATAATTACAATTGTTTGTTACATAGTTATGTTTTGTGCTAATTCATAAATTTTATTTTATTTTATTTTTTATTGTTAAGGTAAGGTCATGCCCTCAAGTTTTTATTAGTATATTAGTTATAGCTAGTATAATTTTTATCATACATCATCTATTAATATATATCTATTTAGACATAAGACTCAGATGTCTTTATTTGTAACCTAAACCTACCAGAGCTTTGTATTGTATCCCACTTACACCTAACCTGGATTTTTGTTTTACTACTGATTATATTAAGTAACCTGCATATTCCCTCTATGTTTCACAACCTATTTTTCACAACTTCTAAATTGGTCTACCAGGTCATTTGCTTCTTTTGAGCTTCTATCTTTGGTTTGCCTAAAGGGTGCCTTTCTAGCATGTATCTCAAGCCAAATTCCTGCTGCTGCTGCTATTTTCCCAATTCAGATACTGGTAGCATGTATCTCAAGCCAGGTTTCTGCTGCCATTGCTAGTTTGCAACCCTTCTTGGTCTTAGTGTTATTCAAATAGATTGTGTATTTAACCTGCCTCTTAAATACTCTTTTTTATAATATAGTAAAACTATGTTTCAGAAATGGTACTTTTATTTTCTTTTAGCCATTGGCCAATGTTTCCTTTCTACTTAAACACATGAGGACTTATCTTGTGTTTGCATCACCCAAAGCCGGTTTGCATTCCTCTGTGTATACTGACCTACACAGATACTTGTATAAATCTGCATTCTCACAGATGCTTTATACTTGTTCGCAAAGGTCACTTTCAATTTAAGTATCTCAACTTTGATTGATACAGCATTTATGTTGGTGTATTTTACTTGTTTCGCTATAGGCTTCTATATAGGTATGACCAGAGCTCTGATTTGGTACCTTTAGATATACAGGATAGGCTACAACTTCTTTATATATACAGCTACCTTCTATTTTTAGTCATTCCATAATGCCAGAGGTGCTTTCAATCTTGATAAGGCTAATCCTTTGTTACAGACCTTCTATGCATGCACTGCTTCTCTTACCACTCCAGTACATGTTATCTTGATATTACTCTCCTAATCAATTACTTCCCAAGTTGAATGTGAAGATGTTGATACTGCTCTGTCTCCAGAGAACTTATATGTGCAATACTTCATATAATAGAACCTTCTGTGATACTGCTGTCATCTGTAGTGCCTGCTCTCTGCAAAGTCAGTCACCTTTTAGGAATTTCTTTTTTCTGTCATATACTGCACTTGAACTTAACCATAAGGCTTCATGTTCAATTACAGGCTTCTTATAGGTTACAGAAACTAAAATCTTTTTGATTTTTGCCTCCAGCCAGACTTGAACTGTTGACCTTGACTGTGAAGGTATAGAAGCTTAACAATTAAGCTATGGGACCTACACCCTTCATAAATTTTATTATTGTTACCTATTAATTAATAATATATAAAATAAAAAACTCACAAAGTAAACTATATTATATTAAAATTCATTAACTAGAATAGACTTTCTTTTAAACTCGAAAAAAAAGACTTATATATAATAAAAGGTGCTTCTCTTATTAGCAAACTTTTCATTTTTATTTAACTGAATAGTAGAGCACAGAACTTTGTCTGAGCCTATATGAAATCTCTTTATGCTTTGTAGTTTTCAAGGTCAAACATATATCGATATAAAATTTGTATATACATATGTACATATATACTGTACAATATTAATCATAGAGTGAAGATCATGTGAATAGAAAATCGATCCTACACTCTGTCAAATTCTTAGTAGATGTATTGTTTAGTTGAATAAATTTTATTCAAATTGGTTAGCTAGTTTATAAAGATCTTTAAAAGATAAAAGTGTATAAAATATTGCTAAAATGAATATAAAAAAATTTAAAAATAAATATATATGTTGTTGGATATGTATAGTATTAAAAGATTATTTAAAGTAGTAATAAGTTATATTGTAAATATTATGAGTTATTTTAGAATTAAGAATTTTATACTTTTCTAAATTAGTACAGATGTATATATAATGTATAGCTGTTTTAGTAACTTAGTATATTTGATCTTAAATTGATTAAATAGTTAGTAGTTCAGGTTTTTAAAGAATTAGTTTCTTATATTTATTATTAGTTGCTATTGTTATTTGGTATTTAATATAGTTGTAAACTTTTTGTTTATTAATGTTACTAAATTGTTTTTTGTAATGTTAAAAAATTTTTGAAATCAGGTATCAAATTGTAGTTTAATTAAGTAAAAAACTAGAATATAGTAGTTTGCATTAAATTCTTGAAAGATAATATTTATAGTAATATTAATATGAAATTTGGAAGTATTATAGATTTATAAAGTAGAAGTATTACCATTTAGAATGTTTGAAATATGGTTTATATATATAAAAGTTTTTAAATAAATGAGTTTAAATTGTAAATCATAAAAGAATTATAATAATTGATAGTTTAGTATTTGTTGTGTAAAAATAAATAAAGTAACAAAGTTTATAGCAATTTGAAATTAGTTTTTAATTAAATAAAAATGAATAAAATAGTTCAAGTTAAAAATTATTTGTAGTTTGTTTTATGAAAAAGAATCTAAATAAATTTAGTAAGCCAGTTTTTTTTTTGTACTAAGAAGTATTTTAAAAAATATTTTGGCTGCTTTAGTAATGTGTAAGTTTTTGTTTAAAATTATGTTTGTAATAAATTTAGGTTTATTAGTTGCTATAGTTTGAATTAATAAACTAAAATTGTTTTTTATAACAGGTTTATTGATTCTTGTAAAATTAATAATTGAACTAAGATAGAAATCTTTTAGAATTAGTTTTAAGAAATCAAAGTTTAAATGTTAGATGTTATAAGTATAAATAAAGAAGAGTTTTTTAAGATAGAATAGTTTTTGAACCAGTTCAAAAAATAATTTGTTAAGTTGTAGTTTGTGAATTTATTTTAAAATTATAAATATTAATAATAATAAATAAATGTTTAAATTTGTTAACAATTTAAAACAAAAATATAAAA